TTTTAAACAAAAGCCTAAGGGTTGCTTTTCTGAAGGCCTTGTCTGAGCAGTAGAAAGACTGAAAGGCTTCCAGCAGGAGCATCTGGGAGGGAGCGCAGGGTCCTGGGTCTCTTGGAGCTGTGCCTGGCCCGCCTAGACTCTGGCACACTGCCGGGACTCCCAGCCTCCGACAGGTGGGCTGTCCAGAGTAACGGAACAGATCATATAGCATGCTAGGTGGCAATGAGTGCTAGGTGCCGGCAGGGGCTCAGGAAAGGCCTTGCTGAGAAGAGCAGTGCCCCTGACAGCTGCGGGCAGGGGAAGATTGTGCTGGCTGCAGTGAGACTGGCAAGATGGGAGGCCACTGGGGGCTCTGAGGGGAGGAGAGACCCAGTCTTAGTCCTGTGTTCAAGGTCTCTCTGGCTGCTGGAAGGAGAGTGGGGGACTGGGATGGCCAGGGTGGCATCAGGGAGGCCAGTACAGTGACTTGGGCCACAGTGGATGGTGGCCTGGGCTTGGCAGCAGTAGTGTGGTCAGACTTTGGATGTTTGCAGAAGGTAGAGCCACTGGGATTTCCTAATGCATTGGAGGTGGGTGTGTGAGAGGAAGAAGAGTCGGATGTCTGCAGGAATCTGGCCTGAGCTACTGAAGGGGGTGGCAACTTCGTGGGTTGAGATGGGGAGGTGCAGCTCCCGTGGAGTTCTCATGGGCAGGTGGAAGTGCAAGTCTGGGGTCAGGGGAACAGTCAGGGCCAAAGTTGTCCATTTGGAGTTGCCATGTTGAGGTCCTGAGGGGCTGAGGGTTGCTGAGGAAGAGCTCAGAGCCCACGCCTGGAGTGGTGGAGACGGGGCTGGTGGTGTGGTTATCTGGGTCATGGGAGACAAGGACTGAGAGCAGACTCTGCTGTGTGGCCATATGATCTTGAAGGAACAGAATTACTACATCATTATTTGTCAGTAGCCCTAGTTTTTTTTTAATTAAAAAAATTGATTAAAAATTTTTAATTTAAAGAAAAATTACTTCCACTTTTCCCTTTGGTATGATCCTTAGAAGTAACCCTAGTTTTTAACAAAAGAAGATAAATGTATTGATTGTGTGAGTAATTATCAACCAACACTTGTAAGATCAAGTGTTGAGGTCATCTCCTACAACATTTGCTTTTGATAATTTTGTATAAACACTTGTCAGGAGTTAAAGTTGTTACCAAGCTTCTATTTGGTATTATGCTGAGTCTGAAAAAGATGGGGTTCCATATAAAATTATAACTTTGAAGTAGATTTCCAGTACTTGGGGGAGAGGTCTCATACTCATGGCTGTGCACAGATTGAAGCTATTGCGTTAAATAAGTGGGTGAGAACTGGATGCAACCAAGTGAACTCTTATGTGGATCTCAGTATTGTGTAAAACAGTAGTGGGCTGTTGTTGGAGACAGGAATTTGAGAAGTTTGAATTTCCAGCATTTGGAGCATCCTGGAGTTTGCCTGTGAGAAGAGTGAGATCACAGGTTGAACCCGAACATTTGCTGATAGCAAGGCCACTCCCACAGCAGCCAGGTCACACCCATATCTGATTTGGTGTCATGGTTTGGGCAGTGTTTGACTTTCGTCACAGCTCGCCCTTTTGAGACTTATTCACTGACACCACTGAACTGTGTTCACTCTCCAGAGTCTGGACGTTGGATCTCAGTTGCCAAGTGACTCCACCTCAGTCAGAGTCTCTGTGATTTCTTTCAGGAACGTCCTCTTCTCCCCTTGGTCCTGCTCCTTCCCCAGGACAGTGGCACTCAGGCTGGATCTGGGCAGGTGAAGGGAGCCTGCAGGCCAGCTCCATCTGCAGCAGAGGGGTGCCGGATGCCTCTCACTCCTATGGGAGGGCGTTGGGGGTTCTTTTATATTAAAACTTCATGTTGAACTTTCTCTTTGCCATTTTTAATATTATGAGACTGGATTATGTTTGAGAAATATGCATGGGTACACCATAATCAGGATTTCACCATCTTTTTTAGCTCTTTAGAAATAGAAACTATATGTTTTTGTTTTGTGTGCAAGTGCTCAGTGTATATCCAGATGTATTTTTGTCTGTGTGCATGGTTTCTAGTCTCCAGAATCCCCCATTGTGCCCTTCTAGGCAACACTGGTCTTTCCCAAAGGTAACTGCTATTCTGACTTCTATTGTCATAGATTCATGTTGCCTGTCCTTGAACTCTATGTAACTGGAATTATTCCTAAATACTGTTTTGTGTCTGACACAATTGCCCTTTTAACAAAATGTAGGTCTGTTGTATAAAGTTGGTCCATTTACATCTGGAACACATTTTTGCTATTGAATTAAGTATGAAATCACGGATTATGCCTGTATGAGGGTAATCACTCACACACTCAGATAAGTCACTGCAACTGGGTGTTGTTTTTGTTTTTAACCACCTAAGCTGATACAGTCAGGGTTTTTAGAGTAAAACTGATCCGGAAGCCTGAAAGGACCAGCAGTGCTTTCTATTTCCAGGTTTAATTGAGAATAAAGTCTGACCTCTCACACCTCACTATGTCTGAAAGGCGGGAGCAGCCCAGGCCGTCTGGCCCACGCACAGGGTCTTGGTGTGCGTGTTTGGTGCCAACAACCATAGTGGCTAGCTGAGGGAATCCCCCTGCCTTCGCTGTGCCTTGTGTAAGTAGATGAGTAGCCCTGTGCAGGCAAACGAGAGCTCCCAAGCCTAAGCCAGAGGAGGTTTGGATAGATGCCAGACACTGCAGAAGTTTTGTTCGCAAGTTTGAGCAAATTAGGGTACTGTGTCAGAGGGTTTAAAGAGTTGGTAGGTTTCAGTGCGCTAAAAGTTTTGGCATAGCACTTTTGAGTCTTCACCATGGTTTTCATTACAGTTTTAAAATGTATTCTTGGATGAGATTCAAATCAAATGTTTACGGAATCCCTTAAGCACTAAGAATCCCAGTGTGCAGCATGGGCACGGATGGGACCTGAAGGCCTGTGACTACTACCTGCTGTGGGGCTGGCGGCCTGATGCCTGGTAAACTTCTCAGACTCGTGGGGTTCATGTTCAGAGCAGGAGTAACGATCCCCAGCTGCTTCAAGACAAGTGTGGCCAAGTGAGGCCACGCCTCCAAGGAGTGGCAGAGGTCGAGGCCCTGCTGGGTTGTGGCCTCTTCCCTCTTTTAACACTAGAGGAAAAAAAGACCATTTTTGCAGTTCTTTTATGTCTGACAGGAGTAAAACATTGATGGATTAATAAAATGTACTTATTCTGCCACAGAAGCTGTGGCCATTCGGACCAAAAAGTGTTTCTCCAGCAGTGCCCTGTGGTGTTTAGGAGGAATGTTGATGTGAATGGAATAAAGCCTTGTCTGAGATGTTGCGGGACACTCCTCAGCAGCATTTTGAACAAAGAGAACTATTGCCCTAAAACCCCCACCTCACAGGGATCTTCAATTTCTTATTTTACCTTCTTGCCCCATCTCTATACAGACACAACCAGTCAGAGGTCTGTATGTTTTATGTTCTTTTTTATCTAACATCTTATACCACATATAAAATAGGGTTCAGACCTAAAGAATGTGGCTTTTTTTTTTACTAGTGATATTTAAAAGTAGAGAATCCCTCTGTCCAAAGTGGCTTAGAGCAGTGCTTTGAAACCATTAATGGTTCATGAAATCAATTTAGTAGCTTCTGACCAGAGAAAAGAAATAAAATAGAAATCTCAGAATACCTCTTATAAAGAATAAATACAGTTTTATGAAGCTTTTAAGTTATGTACATGTATGTAGCAAATCACCACATAAGATGAACACCATGGGTTAGGCAGTGGGGAAAACAGAGCGCCACTGTATGGCCATGACAGTGACATGGGTCACCTGGTCCTCACAGTCTTACTTGAAGGCCACTGTCTTGGGACCATTGTCCAGGCATAGAGCAGTTAGCATCCTGTGTCCTTTTCGGAGAAAAAGAGGAAAATGCATTTGTCATTTAAATGTTGGAATGGTTTTGAGAAGTCTTTCCTTAATTTTAAAAAACGCAGCCTTGAGGTTGCACTCTGGAGGGCTCTCTGGAGGCCGTGTGTTCCCTGGGAGACCAATTTCTGCCTAGTGCCTGCCAGTCCCCATCTCCCTGGGCTCCCTCCAGGGAATTTCACCAGACACCAGGCCCCTCTGCTTCCTGCTCTGTGTTCTCAGAGCATGCTTTGCCCTACTGCCTGGAGCCCGCCTGGCAGGAGGAGCAAGCCCCTTTTGGGGGTGGGCAGCATGGGGAGTCCCTCCTCTCCGGGACAAGCCTGCTTTCCTGCTAGAGAGACAGCTCTAATTCCTACCTCTTTTCAGGCATGACCCCTGACTGGGAACAGAGTGTGCCTCAAGCTAGCTGTGGCTTTCAGGCTGCTTTTGGAGGGGGGGGGTATTACTGGTGTGCATGAGGTGGCAAGTGCCACTTGCAGGCACAGCAAGAAAATACTGTGTGTTCCAGGTGTGCAGCCCACCCTGGTACCAGGCACGGGGCTGCTGAGAAGCACAGGTCTGCTTGTCTAATTCAAGGCTTCCTCCTACACCTTGGGTATGCCTAGGCCCCCCGACTCCTCTGTGGGTGACCGTCCAGCCATGTTCTGGTTCATGTCTGTTCTCATGGGCATCTGTGACATGGGCATTCCCTGTACCTGAGTGGGGCTAGCACACATGGACCAACTTCACTTCAGCCAAAAGCTTTAAGAGCTTTGTACTAGGCTGGGCGTGGTGGCTCACACCTGTAATCCTAGCACTCTGGGAGGCCAGGGTGGGTGGATTGCTCTAGGTCAGGAGTTTGAAAACAGCCTGAGCAAGAGCGAGACCCAGTCTCTACTATAAATAGAAAGAAATTGATTGGCCAACTAATATATGGAGAAAAAATTAGCCGGGCATGGTGGCGCATGCCTGTAGTCCCAGCTACTCGGGAGGCTGAGGCAGGAGGATTGCTTGAGCCCAGGAGTTTGAGGTAGCTGTGAGCTAGGCTGACGCCACAGCACTCACTCTAGCCTGGGCAACAAAGTGAGACTCTGTCTCAAAAGAAAGAAAAATAAAAGAGCCTTGTACTCAAGCTTTTACCCATACCACTCTTGGGGTTTGGGGTACCGAAGTGTCCCTGTTGTGGACAACAGAGGACAGGATGGGACCAGCATGTGGTGGGGGGCTCTGAAGGCCATGTGCTCAGTCTGAAGCAGTGGGTGCTGTGATACCATCACCAGGTGGGCCACGCTCCTGGTCTAGGGGCTGCTCTGATGCTGTGGCCATCTGGGTGCCGACTAAGGCTGGAGTGCTAGCAGATGGGCATTTCCTGCGCAGCGGGTTTGTTAAGATGTTTTAGAAGCTATCCACCATTCTCAGACATATGTATCATAGGAACCTCAGGGGAGAAGGGCACAGAGGATTGAGGGCCACTGACCATTAGTGTCAGGGGGAAGGTGTCCTGTTCCCCAAGCTGGAGGGATGTGCTCAGCAGGAAGCTTTTGGGTCTGTGCCTCTGGGAAGTTGTGGGTCGTGTGTGGGGGTGCCAGCCGTGTGGTCACCTTGCTGAGCCTTAGTTTCTGTGTTAGTAGCAGGAAGTTGGACCAGGTTGTCTCCAGGGCTCCCCAGAGCTCTAGAGCTCTGCTTCCCAGACTCTTGACCACAGGTCAGTTGATGGCTTCTCACCGTTGCCTGCTGCACATCGCCGTGGACTTCGTTTTCTCTCGAGAGGATTGTTCTGGAATTGAGACATGATGTGCTCTGTGTTCTTCCTTAGGGCTTGGCAGTTCTCGGGGGTCACGGCTCTCATGGCTGCAGCTAGCATGAGCCCCCCCAGTTCCCTGGACTTGCTGCAGCCTGGCTTCTCCAAGAGCCTCCTGGGGACCAAGCTAGAGGCCAAGTACCTGTGTTCTGCCTGCAGGAACGTCTTGCGGAGGCCCTTCCAGGCCCAGTGCGGCCACCGGTACTGCTCCTTCTGCCTGACCACTATCCTCAGGTGCGTGTGACCAGCAGGCCCCCAGGGACAGGGGATAGGTGGGCAGTGCTGGCTTTAGAGCCGCGCTGCCTAGCATGGAGTTCCCCAGCAGCCTGGGCCCAGGTTAGATGTGCTTGAGGTATAGATAACTCTGGATTTCAGAGGCTTAGCACAAAGAACATGAAGTTAATAATGTAAAAATACTAATGTGAGGCCGGGCGCGGTGTCTCACGCCTGTAATCCTAGCACTCTGGGAGGCCGAGGCGGGAGGATTGATCGAGGTCAGGAGTTCGAAACCAACCTGAGCAAGAGTGAGACCCCATCTCTACTAAAAATAGAAACAAAGTAATTGGCCAACTAAAAATCTGTAGAAAATATTAGCCGGGCATGGTGGTGTATACCTATAGTCCCAGCTACTCGAGAGGCTGAGGCAGGAGGATTGCTTGAGCTCAGGAGTTTGAGGTTGCTGTGAGCTAGGCTGACACCACAGCACTCTAGCCCGGGCAACAGAGTGAGACTCTGTCTCATAAAAAATACTAATTTGAAATACTATTTTGGATATATGGCGTTTTAAATACAATATATCATTAAAGTTAATTTCACCTGGTTTTGGGGGCACTAGAAAGTTTAAAGTTGGGCTATAGGTTGCTTTCTGGCTGCTCTAGGTAGTTAGAGGAGCCTTGCCCTGTGAGGTGACTGGCCGGTAAGTGTGGTCTGAGAGGTGAAGACTCTGTGCCTGTCTTCAGCAGGCCGGTCCCATAGGGAGAGGGAGCAGTCCACGTCCCTGTGTTTCTGAAGCATTTACATCACGTGGGGAACTCTTCGGAGCACCCTCTTCACAGGTGGAAGGGATGATTCTGCCAGAGATTCAAACCCTGGGTATCCCCTTGTAGGATCCCAGTTTTCTCATCTACTGTATTAATAAATCTTTAAACAATTGTACAATTAATATATGCTTGTTCTCATTAAAGATGAGACAGCTTACAGAAATGGTGGTGTGGAGCTGTTTGTTTGGACTGAGGCAGAGGTGTTCATTTATTCTCTGTAGTAGGTTTCACAGTGAGATTTTTTCTTCCTTTTTCCCCACTAGCTCTGGGCCTCAGAATTGTGCTGCCTGTGTTCACGAGGGCATATATGAAGAAGGCATTTCTATTTTAGAAAGCAGTTCGGTAAGTAAAATGTCTTGAAGCTGAAAATGTCGAAATGAACAGAAAATGTTTTGTAATTTCCTTTAACAACACCGGTGGCAGAATGAAACTTTAGAAGCTAGAGCTTGCTTCTTAGCACACTCTGTGGTATTTAGGGCTTGGAAAGGTTGGCACCCAGAGGTGAGTTAGTCCTCGGAGCCGCCTCCGAGGCATGTGGAGCAGGCCTTGGTTTGGACGAGTGTGCTGCGCCCGTCCTTCGCACTTAATAAGCAGGTGGCTGCAGGAGGCTTAACCTGAGGGCCGCTCCTCTCTGCAGGCTTTCCCGGATAATGCTGCCCGCAGGGAGGTGGAGAGCCTGCCGGCCGTCTGTCCCAGTGATGGGTGCACCTGGAAGGGGACCCTCAAGGAATACGAGGTAAAGATGGGTGTCCTTGCACTGGCACGGCGGCTGCCTGGGGCCTGAGTGTGGCGTGCTGGCTGGAGCCCAGCAGTCGGCATCGTCCTCCCACAGCAGGTCCGATGTTGGCCTGCGCTCTGCTTCCCTGGGACGGCCTGTCTGGGCGGAGATGCAGTTGCCCCTTAGAGTCTGTCTATTTAGAAACGCAAGTTGTGCAGGGCACAGCACTACACTGTGTGCCTCAGTTTCCTTGTCTCTCAGCGGGGAGCAGTCCTCTGCCATCTTGGGGTGGATGTGAGGGTTGGAGGTGTCCGTGCAGAGCGCCGTAGCTATCTAAGCAGCAGCATTTCCTGGAAATGGAGGAACGGTGAGCTCTGCACTGGAGACTGCTGCTTTCAAGCGTGGTGGGATTTTTTGTTGTGTCTCTTGTGTCCTTAAGAGATTCTTAACTTGAAATTGTGTTCACACTAGAAATTGCACAAATAAAGGGCACGTTTGTTCTGTAGTCACAGAAAGGTTCTGGCTAGTGACAAAGGCAGTGGCCTTTGGCTGTGGTTTGACTCTGTGTGCCAGACGGGGTGGGCTGGCATGCCTGCGTCGGCATATTGGGGATTTCACTGTGACCCTCATGTCACCTGTTAGGCATTTGGCAACTAAACCTGCAGTGTAGAGGTGGCCATGGCTGTCCAGGTTATGCATTTCTTGTCTTCACGCAGCCCTTTGTCCAGGAATGTTCATGGCAGTGTTATTCACAGTAGCCGGGAGGTGGAAACAACCCACATGTCCATCGACAGATGAGTGGGTAAATAAAATGTGACCCGTCCACACAGTGGAGTCTTTTTCTGCCCTAGAAAGGAAGGACTTTGTGACACACACTACAGCAGAGATGAACCCCGAGGGCACCAGGCTCAGTGAAATAAGCCAGTCACAAAAGGAGAAACCCTGCAGGATTCCACCAGTGTGAGGTCCTTAGAGTCATCAGATCCATAGCAGCAGGGAGTAGAATGATGCGTGCCAGGGGCTGGGGGAGCAGGGGTCATTGTTCAGCAGTACAGAGTAAGTGGGGAGGTGCCCTAATGCCATCCAGTCTGGCATGAGGCTGGTGAGGCTGTGAACGGCTGTTTGCTGGGAACCCCGCCTTTCCTGTGCTTAGGGGAGCTCCCAGCCCAAGGCTGCTGGGTCCCGAAGCCCACAGAGAAGCCTTGTGCCTGGTCAGTGGGTTGGGCTTCTCCCGCTGACCTGGACCCTGGGCACTGCCTGTCAGGTTTGGAATTGGGATCCTGAATTACTGATGGGTTTCTCCTTTCCTGCTCCCCGCCTGTGTGCCTGACTGTGCTTTCCTCGTTCTTTTGACCAACTCTTCTTTGTGGTGTTTGGGCCTTCAGTTTTGTTTTGCCAGAAGAGCAGCTTTGGCCACATCTGGGGTGAGCAAGGAGACCACTCTCCTTCCTAGCATGGTGGCCTGGACATGGAGCCACAGCTCTGGGCACTTCCCCAAGTGAAAGGCTTCTGCCTCCTTAGGCAGAGATGCCAAAATGCCCAAACATTCCAGACACTGGGGGGCACATGCAGCGTTGGTAGGTAATGTTGTACACCCCATTCCCTGCTTAGCCAAGGAGGCCTGCAACTTGATTGTTGCTTGGTGCTGTCTGAAAGGGACGTGGCTCTGTGGGGAGGTCACTGGGGTCAGGTTCTCTCCTGGGAGAGTGCCAGGAATGGGGATATGTACGCTATGCTGTCTTTGAGGGGACCGGTGGAATAACAGTCCCCAGCTCTGGGCTGGGCTTCCAGTCTCTGGGGTCTCAGCTGCCTCTAGGCCCATAATATATAAGGTTGGCGGCTGTGTGGGTCTCTGGCTGAGGGCCAGGGACTCCAGCCAGCCTATGGGCTTGGGCACCATGCGGCCCTACAGGCATGCAGGGTGGAAAGTCCCCGGCTGCGCCCTTTGAGAGCTCTGGAAAGTCCCTGAGAGGAGTCGGGTTTGGTCATGTGGGGGGCGGGCCCTGCTCTGGGATCGCTCTGCGGTTGCTTTTGATTTTATTGATAAAACCTCTCACTGGTTGTAAATGTCACAAGCAGGGCCTGAGATCCAGTCCTCTGTGTATGGTTCAGGTCCCCCTTCTGCAGAGTGGCCCTGCCCCTCATCTGCCAGGCAGGCACGTGCTGGGGTTTTCCTGTGAAAACTGGTACCAAGGCTAAAGCTTTTTTTCCTTGATAGTCTGAATTGTTGGATAAAGGAGAGAAAATCCTGTTAAGCTTTTTTATGTTTTTCCTTTGCGATGATGCCTTTCTTTCTTTTTTTTTTTTTTGTATTTTTTTAATTAATTAATTTTTTAATTAATTAATTTTGAGTGTATTATGGGGGTACAAGTGTTAAGGTTACATATATTGCCCATGCCCCCCTCCCCCAGTAAGAGCTTAAAGTGTGTCCATCCCCCAAACGTTGCACATCTTACTTGTTTGGTTGTATATACCCATCCCCTCCTCCCCCCTTCCACCCTCCTGACACCCGATTAATGTTACTCCTATATGTCCACTTAGGTGTTGATCCATTAATACCAATTTGCTGGTGAGTACATGTGGTGCTGGTTTTTCCATTCTTGAGGTACTTCACTTAGTAGAATGGGTTCTAGCTGTATCCAGGAATATACAAGAGGTGCTATATCACCATTGTTTCTTAAAGCTAAGTAGTACTCCATGGTATACATATACCACATTTTATTAATCCACTCATGAATTGATGGGCACTTGGGTTGTTTCCACAGCTTTGCAATTGTGAATTGTGCTGCTATAAACATTCGAGTGCAGATGCCTTTCTAAGAACTGAATGATTTTAAAACTAAAAAATGTTTATGGTGCGCCTGTTAAGTGCTAATAGTAAAACTGAATTTCACAGCCAGCCCTGGAGCTGCAGGTGCTTAGAGGAGGGGCCCTGGGTGAGGGGTGGGGTTCAGGAAAACTTTCCAAAGAGGATAAAGGTCAGCCCACATGAACAGGTAAAGGCCAGGTCAAGTATGCTCGGCCTCATTGCATGTTCTGGTGAAATTCAAGGTACGATGACTATATTTGCTTAAAACATTTGATTTGAATGCTGGTTGAACAAATACTGATGTCTTTGAAAGTGTCCGCTGTGGGGAGGGAGAAAACAGCTTTGTTCTGATTACGTGGGTTCAACGGGGGACCTCAAGCAGAGTGCCAGGAGAAAGATTGTATTACTGAAATTTCAAACACACAGCATGCTTGAGAGCAGAGGCCGACCGCTGCCCTGGGGACCCTCGCATACTGCCCCGCAGCACTGAACCTGCCGGCCTCTCCAGGCTTCCAGCTACACCCCCGTATTTTCCTTTTCTACATGAGTTTAAAGCAGATGGAAAATGTCATGTCATTTCATCTGTGAGCATTTCACTGAGCATTACAGAACGGTCTTCTAATGATATCTGAGTCCTTAGCTATTTGTGCTTTAGCCTATGTGTCATAGACCATAGTAGTGCCCAAGACTCCTGATCGGTTCGGTTTGATAATTGCTGTTACACACTGAGGTGGCTGAGGGTGGCAGTGGCATCCCCACTGTCATCAAGTTCAGGGAGTTGGTTCCTTCAGCAGGTGATAATTGGGCCTGTACTGCTGGAGGTCTTGGGGCCATGTGCCCTGCTGGGGTGCCTTTGAGGATTGTCTGCCACGTAGCTGCCCTGCCTGTGTGAGGGTTCAGAGGGAATGTCCCCGGGGAGGTTGAACGGAAGCTGGCCCAGGGGTCCCTGCTGTGGCATACAGTGTCAAGGGGCTTTGTGCAGTTCCTGCATGTCCTGGTCCTGCCCCTGGGGCTGGTCTGGAATGCTGCCCTCTGGGGCCAGGAACATGTGGGACGCTCCTGTGGGGTCTTACCTGTTGGGAGCCCCAGCATTGGGCCTGGTAACTACCATTTCAGCCACTCAGCAGGGTTCTCTTTGGGCTCAGGCATGAGGTTAGGTGACAGGCTGGACCTGCTCTGGGAAGCATATGGTGTGGGGTGCTCTGAGGCAGTGTGGACACCACCTGGACACCACCTCTCCATCCAGGTGCTCTCTGGAATTCACCTGTCGCTTCCTGCCTGTTCCCAGAACGGATAGACCTGGGAGTGTGGGTGTGCATCTGCAGAGCCCTTAGGGCACAGAGGTCGTGCTGGCCAGGACTTGAGAAGCCCTGAAGGCCCAGCCCCTTTGACCTGAGGCGGCTTTAGCGCGTTTGTCCTGGACCTCATCCTGTCTCAGCTTGGGGCCCTCAATGCTCAGGCCACAGCAAGGTGACAAGGCCTGACTGAACCCTTCAAGGACTTTGAGGGAAGGTTGGAAAGCTGGGGAAGCTGCCGTGGTAACAGCAGGAAGGGTGAGGGGCAGGCACAGGGGAGGAGGAGAGAGGGCTGGGCCCGGACTGTCCTGGGAAAGTGGCGTCTCCTGTGAGCCCCACACGTGCTGCCCCACAGATGAGGTGTTCCCTTATCTAGAAACCCACCCACTTCCCAGATCTGAAAGAGGGTCCCTCGGCCCCCATCGCAACTTTTCCTGAGTTGTCTGGGAGGCACTGAAGTTACATCCCTGTGGGGAAGCACCCTGCAGGTGGGTCCTCTCCTGCTTGGGTGCCCTTGCATCTCCCAGGACCCTTCCTTTCTCAGTGTGTCTTCCTCCTTCCTTGTCATCCTCTCCTGTTGCCAGGTTGTGCCCATCAGCACAGAAAACGCCCGCTAGTGTTTCCTATCTCAAACCTAATGCTGTGCTTAGCAAGATAAGCCAATCTCATGTGATTCCACTCACAGGAGGGCCCAGAGAGACCCATCGAGACAGCGAGGGATGGAGAGTGCCAGGGCCGCGAGTCAGTGTTGCCTGGGGACAGAGCATCATGCTGGGAAGATGGCAAGTTCTGTGGGTGGAGGGTGGTGATGGCCGCACAGCAGTGGGAATGTGCTTAGTGCTCCTGAGCTGTGCACTTAGAAGTGGTGAAGATGATAAATTTTATGTGTATTTTATCACAAAAGGAACTTAGCCAACAAATCTCGTTCAACTCCACTTCCTCTGACTGAGCTCCTTTCTCTATCCCCTTCACAGCTCCCTTCTCTTAAAAGACTTGTCACAGTTCTATTTCTGCCTCATTGGCCTCCTCTAGAGGCTGGTCAGGACCCAGGGGCTGACTTCATCCATCCTGTGCCTGGGGGTCATCCTCGACTTCTCTCTGTTATTGTCAGCAGCTCGCTCAGTCAGCAGACCCACCTGGCTCCCCGAACACATCCAGGATCCAGCCTTCTCTCCCTTTCCCCTGGGTCTGCCCCCTCGTTCTTCCTGCTGTTACGGCAGCAGCTTAACGACCTTCCCCGAAGTCCTTGAAGGGCTAAGTCAGGCCTTGTCACCTTGCTGTCCAGACCCTGCGCAGTCGGGCATTGTCTTCGAGATGGTCTGCGAGGCCATGCCCCAGGCAGCAGCAGGCCTGAGAGGTGGCTGGCTTCTGGGTGCTGGGTCCTGGGTTCCTGACCCAGCGTGGTGAGGAGGCAACAGCGTGCCTTTCCCTCCACGTCCTTGCGCGCCGCCCTTGCTCTCCCTGGGGTGCTCCACAGGCCCCTCCTTGCAACACCAGGTTCCTGCCTTCCCTAGACCAGGCCTTATGGCGCCTCCCCCAGTCTTGCCTCCTCCACTGTCTCTGGTCTCACTGGCTGAGGCGTTCCTGCGTTGGTGACCACCAGGTCCTCAGTTCAGGAGGGCGGTGGCTCTCAGCACTGGGACGAGTGGACTGCTGAGGGGCCTGGCCCCTTCGTCATGGTGCAGGGACTGCACCATACAGCCCGTGCTCAAGCCTCAGCTGGGTGGCCAGGCCCACAGGCCTCCCTCACTGTCTCCTTGTCCCCTGGTCCCCTGTCTGCACCTCTGCCCCTTCATGCCCGTCTCCTATAACGACAGCAGGCCTGGGACTGGCAAGATCATGCCCTAGCACAGACCACCTTTTGCTTTTGGTCTAAAGAGATGCCTTCTCAGTGAGGAGCTGGTGTGTGTGGTGGGGACATGCCAGCACTGGGCAGAGGTCATGCACTTGGTGGTGGGAGCTGGGCAACCCTGGGGGTGCTGAGGCACCCACTGAGACCAGTTGTAATTGATCATCTCCTTGGTCCAGTCTGGAGCAAGGACAGGAAGAGGAGAACACACCAACCTTCCCCGTCTGCTGTCTGGCCTGTGGGCGCCCTGGCAGCTGTCTGTACAGGGCAGCCTCGAGGGGCTGGGGTGCTACACACAGCACCGGCAGGCGGACCCTGAGCCACCTCTACACGCCTGGTGCCCATACAGTTCCATAAGCTCTGTTGATCTCTTCCCCTTTTGTCGCCAGAGCTGCCACGAAGGCCGCTGCCCACTCATGCTGACCGAGTGCCCCGCGTGCAAAGGCCTGGTCCGCCTTGGTGACAAGGAGCGCCACTCAGAGCATGAGTGTCCGGAGAGGAGCCTGAGCTGCCGGCACTGCCGCGCACCCTGCCCTGGAGCAGACACAAAGGTGCGTAGGGCATGGAACAGCCCGTGCGGCTGTGGCTGCGCTGGGACGGGCTGGCTTGGCTTCTTCATGGTTGTCTCTGCGGGCCTCAGCCCTCTCCCTGAAGCAGAGAGAGGGACTAAGCATGGGTGTGAAGGCAACACCAAGTACTTGAAAAAGTGTGTTTATTCTAGAAAAGCTGGAACACTCCCAGGTAGAGAGTGGCAGCAGGTGTTGCGTCACCTCCTCCATGTCAGCCTCACAGCTGGAAAGGCCTGGACATCGCACCCCCAGACTGTCACTCAACAAGTCCGCCTTTGTGGCGTTTCCTCCCAGATTGCTCAGAACATGTCTCTGCAGTGCACAGAGCTACGCCGCGTTGTTCCTGCTGTAATTGCTCTGTCATTTGCTGGCTATGTCCACGTTCCCCGTGTCTGTGCCTTTCCCGTTGATTTATTTGAGGTATAATCCAGACAGGGTCCCTCTGCATTTTGTCAAAATGTCTCTGGGGTCTCTCAGTCTTTTTTTTTTTGAGACAAAGTCTCATTCTGTTGCCTGGGCTAGAGTGCTGTGGCGTCAGCCCAGCTCACAGCAACCTCAAACTCCTGGGCTCAAGCAATCCTCTTGCCTCAGCCTCCCAGGTAGCTGGGACTACAGACATGCGCCACCATGCCTGACTAATTTTATATATATATATGTGTGTGTGTGTGTGTGTGTGTGTGTATCTTTTAGTTGTCCAGCTAATTTCTTTCTATTTTTTTAGTAGAGATGGGGTCTCGCTCTTGCTCAGGCTGGTCTTCAACTCCTTAGCTCAAACGATTTGTCCGCCTCAGCCTCCCAGAGTGCTAGGATTACAGGCGTGAGCCACCACGCCCAGCCTAACTCTTGATTAATTCTCCGTGGGTGTCTTGTCTTCATCCTTCAGGATTCCCGCTGCTGTGTTTTGCTGATGGTGTCCCCAGGTGTCAGTAAGGTGCTCTTCTGCCCCTGCTTCCCGTGAACCATCAGGTAGACAGGCCTGACCAGGGTTGTCTGGGGCAGGCGGGCAGCCCACAGCAGCATATCAGGCCCCTCTCGGAGGTGTCCTGTGCTCGGCCAGCCCAGTCCCTCTGTCAGAAAGCACCACTAGCTTCACACCTCTGGCAGAGCAGCTGTTCTCCATCCTCGTGCAGGACTTACGTTTCGGTTAGGGCTGCAAAATGCTTACACTCTCCTTTCAGACCATCTCTCATGACTTTGTCTTCCTCGGGTTGCCCTGGAGGCCAGCAGGATGCAGAAGAGAGTTTTAAAATCTCTGCTGCTCCTGGGTGGTGCCTGCAGGATCCCGCACAGGGTGGAGGGTGGCCACTTGGGTGCCAGCCACAGCCTGAGCGTCGTGCACATCCGCGCCCCGATCCCACTCACCACCCTGGCTGTCATCCCTACTGACGCTCCCGACTGCTTCTCTCTAAGGCGCACCACGAAGTCTGCCCCAAGTTCCCCCTGACTTGTGACGGCTGCGGCAAGAAGAAGATCCCTCGGGAGAAGGTAAGTTGTTCCTCATGCCTTCTGAGGGCCACAAGGTCAGGGCCCGAGCATTGGCAGTGAGGGTCCCTCACTGCATGGTGTTGGGGAGGACTAGGACCTTGTGTGCAAAGGGTCACGGTGTAAATGTGCTCAGGTGCGATGGCCACTCTACTCTCCTGAGTGTGCCAGTGGCTGAGTCTAGAACCCCTTCCTTTATCCTCCAGTATATGTTGTTACTTTTGGGCAAGCCACTTCTAATTATTCTTCAAATTAAACATTAAAGTTGTCATTACCCTCCATGTGTGTGTTCTTTATGAGAAATGGTGTTGACCTTGAACTTGGTATTTGCAGCAGGTGCTTTGGGTGTGGAGACGGGGACCTCAGGTGTAGTCTGTAATAGCAGCGAAACACCGACGCCTTGGCACTGGCGGGATTTCACTTCCCCACATCCTTAGTCCTATAAGGAAAATGGCTTCTTGCATAGGAGTGAGTTCTCTGCTCTGATGCCGCCATTAAGAAAGGAAGTTGGAGCTGAGCGCAGTGGCTCATGCCTATAATCCTGGGTCTCTGGGAGGCTGTGGTGGGCTTGAGCCCAGGAGTTTGGGGTTTCTGTGAGCTATGATGACATCATTTCACTCTAGTGGGAGCAACAGAGAGAGACCTTGTCTCAAAAAAAAAAAAAAAAAAAAAAAAGGAATTTGGGAAATCTACATGGACACGTATTTTCCCAGGGCTGGGAGGTGAGAGTAGCTTGCCCAGGGCGGCTGAAGCTGCAGAAGGGGCTGCAGCGCCTGCTCTGGTGGCCGCAGGCAGGTAGGGAGCTCTCCTGGGCAGCGCAGGCCTCAGGCAGGCAGAGCCCTCTGCTCGCTCAGCCCTCAGGTATGCACCATTCGTCTGCCTGTCTGGTTTGCTGTCATTTTTAAATGCAAGTCACAGCCTGAGTTCTGAAATGGGTGGGGCTGGGGGTCAGGGGAGCCTTTCTTCTCCCCTAATTCCAGTTGTTATATTGAGTGTCTTGCACTATGGGTTTGGCCAAGTGCCATTCGACCTTCCCCTGGGTGGTGGTGCTCACTCTAGAAGCTTGATGTGGGGTTCAGGCTCTGTTGCTTTCTGGGAACATTGTAGAGGGCTGTGGCTGATGGGAGGCCAGCATGTCTGCCTGGCACCCTGTGTCTGCAAGGACAAGCTTGATCTCTGTGACAGGTGCTGTCCCTGCTGGGCATGGCCTGGAGATTCCCCTGCCTATGCCCTCATCTCCATCAGCTTTTTGGTTGTCCTGGGCTGGTTCGTACTGAGCAGTGAGGAGTTTATTGTTTACCTGTGATTTTCTTTTTTCAGAGTAAAAGACAGATGCCCAGTCAACTCATTGGTGTCAGTGGCTTTGTTCCTCCTCCCCCAGAACCTGTGTCCCTTTCTCTCTCCCTCTTTCTGTCTCCCTCCTTCCCCTCCCTTCTTCTTGTGGTGAGTGCGCCTGTCCTCTTCTCCAGCCTGAGCTGCCTGGTGTGTCTCTCCAGGCTCCTCCCCATGGTGCTGCCAGGGCTGTGGCCTGGGCTCTCTGGAGGCCCCAGCTCTGGCCCCTCAGTGCAGCGTGGCCTCAAGGGCCTGTGGTCCCGTGCCCCTGTGGGGGTTTGTGCCCTGAGGCTTTTCCTGAAGAAGGGGCTGAGCAGGATTTCACAGTGACGTTTGTGCTTTCTCTGTGATATTATAGGGAGTTTTTCTGTCTTTCTAAATTTTATATTTGTATTTCTTTTATGCTGAAAATCTTGGTTCCTAGCAGTAACGTATTAACTTACTTGCTTTATCTTTTACATACAGTAGATTTAAAATAAAAAATAGCTATATTCTGATAATACCACTGAATTAAGTTTACTATTTCTTTGAAGTTCTTTTTGTCTTTGACAGTACATCTTACAGAGATATGTGGTCCAAATACTGTGTTCTAAGGTCAATTGGAATGAATTTTTTCTTTGCATTTATATCAAACTTGGTAAACAGTTGATTTGCTTCAGTTTCTTTTTAAAGTTTAGGGATTTAAAAAAAATTTTTCTTTTGTGCTTTCATTATGTAAAACATGTACATAATCAGACAGTCATTGTGGTGACTAGGAGCAGCCCCCTCCTGGTCCCATTCCCTCCCCCGCCCCACTTGCTAGAGTGGTGCTCCTGGGGGGACTTGGGTTGGTCTCCCCACCCCTGTTTCCTGGGACACTTGCAGGACTGAGCAGAGCAGGGACATGGCCTGTTGGGAGCTAGTTCTTTGGACGCTGGTCTGTGGGGCCTGCTGGACAGGAGGAGGGGCCTTTGGGCCTTTGGGAGGCTCAGTGGGCGGCCGCCATGCCCTGGTGTCAGATGGGGCATCTGCCTGTTCATGATGTCACTGACAGTAACAGCAGATGGGGGTTGAGGGGTTGTTTGCATTTGTTAGGGGCTCTGGGAGTTCTCCCTGGCCCTCACAAGAACCCCAGGGAGTGTCACTTATCAGGGGAGGAAACTGAAGCTCAAGGAGGCCAGGCAGTTACCTGCCTTCCATCTCTGCGGACCTTGCTGTGGGCAGGGTGGTGGGACTCTGGTCTTCTTATTTTCAGCAGTGCCTTCTCCCCAAACCTGCCCTCCTCAGGCGTTAGCGCCCTGCCCCCAGCACACCACAGGCCTTCCAGGTTCCTGTTGCTTCTCGTTCAGCTGTGGCAGAAATTTCCAAGCCCCACAGAGCTAGAAAGAATGCAGGGGCCCTACAGAGGCTCAAGATGAGGGTGCCTGGTGCCGGTTTAGCTCATCCCTGCCTCCACTTCACCCAGCCCAGTGTTTCATCTGAAAGTATTTTGGCAAGAGTGGAAGGATCTTTGCTTTATTTTTGTGAGAGATACATCGTGGATTCATACTGATGTTTCCATTTCAGATTCTTAACTAACTTACGTATCTCTCCCTCTTTCTGCAGAAAATCTTAGTTTCTGATGACATTAATATGTTTGTTTTATTCTACTGTACATAATAAAAGTACCAACGTGGGTTAGTACTAACTATGATCAGTAGCTACTTCCATGACGATGAAGATTTCTTTGTCGTTCTCTTTGCTTTTAGAGTCGGTACATTCGAATTGTCGCATTGTGGACACTTGAAGCAGCCTTTCTCAGCGGGCTGTGTCAGTGTACTGCTGAGGCATTTATTTCATTTTGCTTTTGAGTTTTAAAGATTGTTCTTTAAAAAAACCAATGTTTTGCAGTCTTATAAAATGGTTACGGGGCACCAAGGTGAAAGCTAAAGAAAGGTGCCTTCCAGGACATCAGAGGGGAGTGTGTGTCAGGTTCCCCTTCCAGCTCTGGTCTGGCAGCGTAGAGATCTGCATCCCTGTCCACAGTGTGGGAAAGCTGTCTCCGCAGACTTGCCGACCCTGTGCTGCGGGACTTGGATTTCCGCCTGTATGATGGGTGAGTCTGTGGGTTCTACAACTGGGGGTTCAACTGACTACAGGTCAAAAATATTTAGAAAGAAAAATTGCATCTGTACTGAGCATGTACAGACTCTGTTTTCCTGTCAGAAGTGCCTAAACAACACAGTACAGCAGCTATTCACATAGCATTATGTCATGTTAGGTGTCACAACACAAGTGACCTAGCAACGCGGTCGAGCTTGCAAGGGGACGTGCCGCATGGGTTATGCGCAGATGCCACGCCATTTCACGGGGCCAGCGTCCCCTCCAGGAGGATTCTGGTACCTGCAGGAGATCCGGGACCCAATCCCTAGGGATGCTGAGGGCAGTTGTGATTTGTGTCTCGGACTGTGGATGTGATCGAACACCTTTGCTTAAGGTTCACCTGCATTTCTCTTGCAGAGAAGTGTCTGTTCATGACTCGCCCCGGTGGTGGTTTTGGGTTTTTGGTGGTCTGAAGGGGCACTGTTCAAAGTTTTTCTGTTATTGTTTCTGGAAATAGATTCATAGTTAAGACCTTGTCCCGGCGGAAACCCTGTGCTTCCTTCTGGTATTGGTAGGTTTGATTGTCACACATTTGAAGCTCTGACAGACTTGCCACGGCGCCTGGGAGAGGGAGGAGAGACTTGTGTTCAGTTCTATCCCTCTGGCTGTTCCCTCATCCTTACACGGGTTAGTAAAATGTTAGCCTTTTTTCCTTCACTGATCTGAGATGCTGCCTCCATCATGTACAAAGATCTGTGTGCGGCCGGCCCCTTTCTGGATTTTGCGTTCTGATTCGTGTCCCGCACCACCGCACGCTAAGCGAGTGGTGGGCGTTTGACTCCGGGGGAGGCTGGCCTCTCCTTATGCGAGGTGACACCCAGGCCCCGGGGCCTCACCCTGCACATCCTAGAGAGGTGCTGCTTTCTGCGACACTGCAGGCACCCGAGACACTCGCCCACGCCAGTTATGGGCAAGCGCGTGTGCACTCGTGTATTTGCGTGTTTGTGAGTGTGCGTGTGAGAGAGAGAGAACATGCAGCTTTGGAAACGGGCTTTCAGGTTTATTCAGCGTGACGACAAGGAGGCCAACAGCACTGGTCTAACAGCCCTCTGTGTAGAGTCTGGCTTGGTCAATGCAGAGGTGGTGAGTGCCAGAACAAATGTGACTTGTGACATTGTCCCTTTGTAGTTCCAGGACCACATCAAGACCTGTGGCAAGTGTCGAGTCCCCTGCAGGTTCCACTCCGTTGGCTGCCTGGAGACGGTGAGTTGAGGGCTGGTGCTGAGGTCTGGGAGCTGGCAGGCCACCCCCATCCCAAACACGGTCTTCACTCAGCCTCCAGCCCAGCCCCTCCAGGTTTCCTCCCAACATCCCTGACGGCCCCTCCTCCCGCCCAGAGTGTCCTAATGTCCCGGGCACAGTCCCAGGCCGACACCCACTCCCATCCTGTCGGTGGTCTCATAGTGCCCCTGGCTTTGACCAGCACTGTCCCTGAGAGTGCCCAGATGTGAGTATCCACCTGTTACCTTGAGCCTCCTCAGGTGTCAGGTGGACATCTCAGCCTTGACCACTTTGCAGCTGCTATCCATGTGCCCCCGCCTTGTCCTCCCAGTTCCCCAAAGAGAGTAGTCTGATTCCGATTTGCAGTCCATGTCCCACACCACCACACGCTAAGTGAGTGGTGGGCATCTGATGCTGGGGGAGGCCTCTCGTGCAAGGTGACACCAAGGCCCTGGTGCCTCCACCCTGCACATCCTAGAGACGGTGGTAGAGACGGGAGACAGGTGCTGCTTGAGCCCTAACCCTTGGCTCTAGCCAAAGCCCCTGGCACTGGGCAGGCATCCAGGTCCCTCCTCCTGTCTCACACACTTGTCCAGTCTGACCGGGAACCTTGACTGCCTTCAAGTGGCACCTAGAGCGCCCCCCCCCCCCCGCCATCACTGCCTTGCCCCGGACACGGCCTCCAGTGCTCACCTGCCTCCCTGACCCCTCCTACTCGTTCTGTTTGTTTATACATGGAGATCAGACCACAGCACTTCCTGCAGGAGAACCTTTTTGTGGCTTCTGCCTTCACACCTTACCAGTGGTTCAAGAATCATGTCCCCCGCTGCCTCCCCTGCAACCTCTAACTTCACCTCTGCTGCCTGCTGTCTGCCTTGGTCGTTGGCCTGGCCATCCTTGAGCACACCTGCTCTAGCCCAGGCATGTTGCACACCAGTCAGGTGTCCAGGCCTCTGTCCGTGTGGACCCCATCCCACCCATGCAGACAACCCCACCCCAAGTCGGCACTCAGCGTCCTTGTTCCTTGTCTGTCTTGCCCCATGCAGCCAGTGCCCCTTGAGGTCAGGACCCTGTTGTGTCCCCTTGAGGGGCACTGGGCCTGGAGGCAGCTGCCAGTGGAAGTGATGGACCCTCCCCTGGCCAGCCGAGGGGCTGGACACAGGCAGGCACCTCCCCTGCTGTGAAGACAGGGACCCTTCACAGCGTCTGTAGTGAGGAGGTTGAGGTAGTGGTCTTATTTGGTGACTTGATCATATGTCATATATAACTTTAGCTATTTGGGTTTTTTTGTTTGTTTTTATTTTTTGAGTCAGAGACTCACCCTGTTGCCTGGGCTAGAATGCCGTGGCATCAGCCTAGCTCACAGCAACCTCAAACTCCTGGGCTCAAATGATCCTTCTGCCTCAGCCTCCCAAGTAACTGGGACTACAGGCGTGCGCCATCATGCCCGGCTAATTTTTTCTATATATATATATTAGTTGGCCAATTAATTTCTTTCTGTTTATAGTAGAGACAGGGTCTCGCTCTTGCTCAGACTGGTTTCGAACTCCTGACCTTGAGCGATCCTCCCACCTTGGCCTCCCAGAAAGCTAGGATTACAGGCGTGAGCCACCACACCCAGCCAGCTATTTTATTTTTGTTCTTTTCCAATAATGGTAAAAAGGACCATACCTGCCTCCATTTCCCTCGTCTGAGTTGGGTACTCTCCTGCTTTCTGTGTGGCACAGGTCTTGTCTGTTTCCTGCTCAGACCTGGCATCTGCCACCTCCGGGCAGCCTGGGTCCCTGAGCAGGATGAAGTTTTAGAGACCACCACCTGGGCCGTGGTGCTTGCTGCCGCCACCCTGGTCCTTGCTTCTGGGCCTTCTTAGAGGTCAGAGAGAAGATAAAATGCACCAGGAGTCTGTGGTGATACTTCCCGTTCAAGCTGAGCACGTTTGCATTGGTCTCCCCAGCCGGGCAGACCCGCTCCCAGGCTCAGCCGCAGTTTGCTTGTTCCACGTCACACGTCACAGTCCCAGCAGCGACACTGCTTGGAAGGACGTCAGTGTTCCCCTGCCCAGCTCTTGTCTTTGCATGCCCTCTGCTCTCTAACTGGGTACACATTTATTCATAGATGCATTTGTTTCTTTTAACTTTGATTTCTAGTATCTTTAACATTTTTAAATGTTGTTGTAGAAGTTTGAAATTTATTTAGTAGCAAATTGAGCTCTGTAAAGTATGGTGTATCTAGGGAAGCCTGGCTTCCACCCTGTGCTTCGTTTTCACCTTACCCCTGTGAACAACTTATGAAAAATGGCGTTTTCTTCCTTTTTGTTTTAAATAAAAGCAAGTAAGTTATACATGAAGGTTAATATTTTTTAAATATACTTGACTTTCAGTGACAAATGCTGTCTTATAAACAAGAAGGTTAAAAGTCACTAAGGCCAACCCATGGCCAGGTCCTGGGCATTCCTGTGCTCTGACCTCTGCCCCAGGTCGGAGCTGACTGGTGCCAGCAGCCTCCCTACCCTGTGTCCGCAGGTGGAGAGAGAGAAGCAGCAGGAGCACGAGGCACAGTGGCTGCAGGGGCACCTGGCCATGCTGCTGAGCTCTGTCTTAGAGGCAAAGCCCCTCTGTGGAGACCAGAGCCAGGTGGGATCGGAGCTTCTGCAGCGGTGTGAAACACTGGAGAGGAAGACGGCCACCTTTGAGAACATCGTCTGTGTCCTGAACCGGGAGGTGGAGAGGGTGGCCATGACTGCCGAGGCCTGCAGCAGGCAGCACCGGCTGGACCAAGACAAGATCGAAGCCCTGAGTAATAAGGTCTGCACCAGGGGGGAGGGGAGGGTTGCCCGTGCCCAGCAGGTTCTGGCAGGTCAGGAGCTCCAGGGCCTGGACAGTAGAACTCCATTTGCAAACCCCTGTCCAGTGTGGTTTCTCCTGGAGGCTTTGGCCTCCTTGGTTTCTGAGCCCCATTCTCTGAGGGACCCAACTCCAGAGTCATGGAGGGCACAGGCTGGAGCCTCTTCTCTCCAGCCAGGAAGGCAGAGTTAACGATGGCACGTGCCTGGCGTGGTTTGACTCCTGAGTGTGTTTCTGGCCAGGAGCCTTCTCTGTGGACTTGGACCTCCCACCTCACACCAGGCAGCGGTGGGGTCCCATGGGGAGGGGCAGACTTGACAGAAGCCTCACCTGAGGTGCCCCAGGAGCCATCCTGCTGGGGACTGGTGGTGTGGGAGGCAGGGCGCGGTGCCCACTCCCTTCTTGTGAGCAGGAAGGTGGTCTTCCTTCCGGGCAGGTGCAGCAGCTAGAGAGGAGCATCGGCCTCAAGGACTTGGCGATGGCTGACCTAGAGCAGAAGGTCCTGGAGATGGAGGCGTCCACCTACGATGGGGTCTTCGTCTGGAAGATCTCAGACTTTGCCAGAAAGCGCCAAGAAGCTGTGGCTGGTCGCACGCCAGCCATATTCTCCCCAGGTGTGGTTCTAGAACTGCTGCCCCCATCCCTGCTGCTTTCCTGGGTACCTGGGTCCCCTCACCTCAGCAGCCACGTGGAATGGCTCCCAAGGGTAGGGCTGGGACGTCCTCAGCTGACCCAAGAGCATCTGCACCTCCCTGAGGGGCGAGTCAGGCAGCTGAGGTGTGGGTCAGGCGGTGTGTCCCCTTGGTCAGGAGCTGCCCTGCCCATGCACCTGCCCTCTGGCTTGCTCCTTATCACCCACACAGCCTTGTCCTTGGGCACACGGAGCGACAGAGGGCTGTGGGGGTGGCTGTGGGGTTGGGGAGGTGCTGCAGGAGGCAGAGGATGGCGCTCTCAGGTGTCAGGGCTGAGCTAGTCCTACCCTCTTCAGCTTCCTCCGCCAATCCAGCTTCCAGCTTTTGCTGCAAGCAGCCCTGTGAGGGTGTCTTTCATACTCTCTTTTCCTCATCCCCAACTGTGGGGTCTGTTGAGGGGTCCATCTAGGGTCTCCTCAGGAAGGCAGTGCTAAAGGGGGCGGGCCAGAACAGGGCTGCTGAGCCTGCAGGCTTCTGCCAGGACCTTGGCTCCCAGCACTCCTGAGGCAGCCCTTCCAGGTCCCCTGGGGCCTCCTGATGGCCCAGCCACTATCTGTGTCCCTGCTCACATGCTTCATAGACTTGCGCCATAGGGGGTCAAAACATGCCTTGTGTGTACGATGTGTTCACGTTTACCTGCTGCTGAGATTGTGGGCTCCTCTGCTGTGCGAATTTAACTTGGCTCTGCTCAGTAAGTCCCTGAATGCCAGGGACTGCCTTGCTGGACTCCTGCGCCATCCAGGGAAGGGAGACCCAGGTGGCATCTGGAGGGGGCACCTCCTGTGGAGAGGCCACTACCCTCTTCTGTGTGGCATGTCCTGACTGTCTGCAGCAAGGGCCAGATATGAACAAAAATCACACATTCTTTCTTTTGTGAGTTGAGATGGAAAAACAAGTTTGTTGTAGGGAAAACTTGAGAGTGTGCTCTTTCTGATGGCACCCTCTCCTGTGTAGATGGGCTGGTCCAGCAGAATTGTCCCTGCTGTGATTCGGGTCCTGGGAGCTCTGGGAGAGAGTGAGGTGAAGGGTCAGTGGCGCAGAGGCCTGGCCACGGCAATGGTCTTAGCAGGAGCCTCGCTTGGACGAGAGGCGTGTTTGTGTTCAGCGTCTGCTTTAGGTGACGCTGGTGAGCTAGGCTTGCACGTTGGACGAGGGTCAGGATCGCTGTCTGCAGATTTTCTTTGCATGTATTATATCAAGTGCCTTAAACACCCAGCCTCAGCTACGTCACGGCCATTGCTCATTTTCTGTGCATCTTGCTGGGGATGAGGGATGTCTGTCTACTCTGCTGTTCTGGGTTTCCCCCCAGCTTGCACCCTCTCCAAGGCAGACGTGGCTCCAACCCACAGCCCCAGGCCAGCCTGGGCTCCCTCTGAGGCTTTGCCGGGCCACCATTGGGTGGTTCGTGCCTTGTGTGCCACCCACCCCAAATTCACAGTTGTTCCATGCATTGCCAGTTTGGGGGCTACGGTTGTGGTTCTTAAAAATGCTATTTCTAATTACTGTGCTTTTTTTTTTTTTTAGACAGAATCTTACTTAGTTGCCCGGGCTAGAGTGCCAGGGTGTCACCCTAGCTCACACCAACCTCAAACTCCTGGGTTCAAGTGATCCTCCTGCCTCAGCCTCCCTAGTAGCTGGGATTACAGGCATGCACCACCATGCCCAGCTAATTTTTTTCTATATATATTTTTTAGTTGTCCATATAATTTGTTTCTATTTTTTTTTAGTAGAGACGGGGTCTTGCTCTTGCTCATACTGGTCTCGAACTCCTGACCTCAAATGATCCTCCCGTCTCAGCCTCCCAGAGTGCTAGGATTATAGGCGTGAGATACCATGCCTGGCCTACTGTGCTTTTTTAAGAAAGAAATTTGTTTTCATTAGCAACTAACTCTGCACAGTTTGAGAAAAAAATGCTGTCTTTGCATCACCAGAACCCGAATGTTTTGTGTGTTTCTGTTCTCCGGGGAGAGCAGCAGGTGGAGAGAGCTGCTCCCTGCCCTGCCTTTGAGGGGTGTCTCACTGATGCCTCTCCCGCTCCCCAGCCTTCTACACCAGCAGGTACGGCTACAAGATGTGTCTACGCATCTACCTGAACGGAGACGGCACTGGGCGCGGGACACACCTCTCTCTCTTCTTCGTGGTGATGAAAGGCCCGAACGACGCTCTCCTGCGATGGCCCTTTAACCAGAAGGTGCGAGGGCCTGTAGGCCTCCCTGAGGGCGGCACTCGGGGGCCCTGGGGCAGTGCAGCCTCTGTGTGGTCTGGTCGTTGGGGACAGGGTCACAGGGTCGCTCAGACTTGCTGGATCCTGGTGTCTGCAACAGGCATGTCCTCCTGTGGCACTGCCACTGCCAGGACCAGCGGTTTGAAAACACTACTTTGGAGAACATTTTTCAAAGAAAGGGGTACAACTACTGGGCCCTCTTTATCTGAGGTATAATTCAATATTTTAAAAACCAGAATCTATTTTTGGTGGAGGAATAGAAGATGAGACTAGGTTGGAACCGGTCCCTTCCTTCCTGCACACTGGGTCTTGGCCCGGCCACGGGCCCTCCCCTCCCCCCCCCCCCGCCCTGTAGCCAGGGGAGGAGGCAGAGCAGAGTGGGTGGGGTGGGCGGTGGGACCCCCATCTGTCCTGGGTGCCGGGTTCCCGGGCCTGGCAGAGGTAGTCTCGGGTTCTCCCTGAAAAGGGCTTTTTCTCTAGGGTAGGCATTGGGTGCTTCATGATCTCTGGCAAGAAAATGTCTTTGTCAGGTTGTCACCTGAATATTATGAAAAAGCACAAAATGACACAAATTCAGAAGTGCCAAGCTTCGGCTAAGAGTCCAGATGTCAGTGAACGGGAAATGCCAGCACAGGCAGGGTCTGCAGGCGCGACGCTCGGCGCACCATGGCTGACGTGCTGGGTGCTCCCTCCCTGCGGCCTCGGCCTCTGCTCTGGGCCCGGGGCGGGCAGGCGTGTGGCTGTGTGTGTCCAGACCCCCAGGAGTGGGACTCGGGCACTCACGACCGTGTCTCTCCCTGGGGCTCTCCCTCCAGGTCACCTTAATGCTGCTGGACCAGAACAACCGGGAGCACGTCATTGACGCCTTCAGGCCGGACGTGACCTCGTCCTCTTTTCAGAGGCCGGTCAACGACATGAACATCGCCAGCGGCTGCCCCCTCTTTTGCCCCATCTCCAAGATGGAGGCTAAGAACCCCTATGTGCGGGATGATGCCATCTTCATCAAGGCCATCGTGGACCTGACGGGGCTCTAGCTACCATCCACCAGAGGCCGGGGCAGCCGGCATAGCCGGCTCAGTGAGGGGCCGCCACGCTGGGCCAGGGCCTCACCGCACAAGGGTGGGTGGGGGCCAGGCTTGGGCGCTTGGGAGGGTGTCGCCCGAAGCCCACATCAGCGCCACACAAAGGAAGGCGCTGCTGGACAGTCCTCAGATCTCTGACTGCGTGGAGGGCCCTGGGGGATGGGCACAGCCCAAGGCCCTGGCGGGATCAGCTGAGGATCTTCAAGGGCTCCCGGTGGAACCGCCCTTGCTGTCTGCTCTATACAGGAGGAGGGCCCCTGGGTGGGGGTGCTCGGAGAGGAGCACATTCTAGCAAGGAGCATGTTCAGAGCAGGGCGTGTGTAGCAGGAGCGTGGCAGCTGCTTCGTGGTCAGGAGGTGGGGCTGCCCCAGTCCATCCACAGAGCAGGGAGCACCAGGTTACTGGGTTTTGCCCTCTGGCCCCTCGGGGGAAGGGAGCGTTGTTAGACCCCTGGGTGCTCGTCTGGGCAGAGCTCCTGCCAGTGCTGGCTTGGCTGGGCCAGCGGGCAGGAGAGGGTGCTGGTCCCGCGCAGTCCAGCCCTGCCGGGCGACGTGTGTTAGCTGCACCATCCGGCTGAGAAGTCATTATTAAACCGTTCAGATCTCTGTGGCGAGTGGCGTCCATTCGGCTCTAGGTTGCCTGCAGCTTCCAGCCTTGGCAGCAGTGACTCTCTGGGGCCCTATGTCTCCCTCCCCTCAGGGTGCCTGGCCCTAGCCCACTTCTCCAGCCAGCCACGGGCCTTCCAGGGGCTCCTGTGAGAGCAAGGCCACATGCATGCCACCCCACCCTGCTTGAACTCAGAGCTGACGGGTGGGGGGAGGACAGTCCCCAGGCGCATTGCCTACCATGGTGGGTGCACTCGGGGTGGCGGGTGCTGCACTACCTGGGCCTGTCAGGGCATCCTTGTTAGGGGGTCTGTGAAAAGCTTGACTTTCCCCTGACATCCTCACTCTCTTCTGTAGTTTGAGAAGTTAACACAGTGGAAAAGCACAGACAGCAGCAGCCCAAGCACCAGGAACACTGTGTACACGTTTGCACTGTGTGCGTGTGCGCAGTCATGAAAGCAGGAGCGTGGCAGGGTCGGCCCCTGTGTCCCCTCTGCAGCCCATCACCATAGCTGTCCAGGGCAGCTTGCCATGAGTCCTGTGCCTGTTCTACCTGGGGTTTAAAATTCTGTTTCTGTGCATTTGTGTATCCACAGATGAGAGCATTGCATTTTAAAAACACAGGAAGCAGGTACTGATTTGTCCTCAGGTAGCTGTCTAATACTCCTCCATCATGGTCGTGCTGCTATGTGGTATCCCAGGGAGAGTGCGCCCCAGTTCCATGGTGCTCCGGGGCTCTGTCTTCGGTCACGAGGGGTGGGGACAGTGGCGCAGAGTTGCTCTCTGGCTTTGCGGGCCTGGAGGGAGAGCCGAGGGGTCGAGGGACCCTGCCTTGCCTAGTGGTTGCCAGCTTGCTCTGCAGAGCTCTAAGGCAGGTTCCCATCGTCTCCCGGCCCTCCCAGCGCTTCATGTTGTTGGGCTTTGCCTACTGTGTGCAGTCTGCTGTGTGGGAGATGACATGTCATTGTGACTGGTGTTTCTCTGGTGACTCAGTGGGGTCAGTCATCTTTATCAGGCTAGAGTGCAGTGGCACCATCGTAGCTCACTGCAGCCTCAAACTCCTGGGCCCAGCGATTCTCCCACCTCGGTTTCCCAGAGAGCCAGGATCACAGGTATGAGACTCTGCACTAAGCCCTATTTATGTCTTTGTCCACTTTTCTGCTGGGTTCCTGGTCTTGTTTTCTGCTGGTTGGTTAGAGTTCCTAGGACTCATGAACACTAGTCCTTGGTTGTATCTTTGAACTGTGTTTGTTGTTGATGTACAGAAATTCAGGATTTAGATATGACTGGTTGAATAATCTTGTAATAGTCTGTTATATATGATGTTATTTCTGACTGAAAAATCCTAACCTTCCCCAAGTTTGAAAGATACTGTAGTTTTCTTCTAATGGTTTTAGTTTTTAACATAGTGGGTTTCTGCATTTGGGAATTTGTTTATATACGATACTGTTTTTGTTAGGTCAGTGCAGGTTAAAGAGATAGATCATTGAGGTCATTTCCTTTCCCTTAAAACGAAATAGAACCGTGGAGTGAGAAGAGTGGAAGGTACCCTCCCACAGGGATAAAGGGAAGGAGGCAGCAGCAGGGGAAGGATCTGGGCCCACTCTGGAAGGTGGGGAGTGGGTTGAGACGTGCAGTATCTGAGCAGAAGGCGGCTGAGGGTGGGGAGCTGCCCACTGTGTGAGCCCCGGGGGTAGGGGAGAATCAGAGCAAAAGGGGGGCTGCTTAGAGACTGGGTAGAACAGCCACCTGGCGGGTCCTTTGCTGTCCCTTGCCTCCCCCCGGGAAGGAGGTCTCTGCCCCTCCCCACCCTGGAGCGAGAATAGGGCTGGGCTGGAGAGAACAGGCTGCAGAAGGGGTGCAGGTGTACGCGGAACTGCTTCCTGAGCGCCAGCCTCCAGGTGAGACACTCCCAGGGGGACTGAGCCCTCTGGGGAGACCGACGCTCCAGGCAGGCACGGGCAGGCCTGGTCCCTGCCTCGGTGCCTCTGCTCACACCCGCTGCGTTCCCATTGTGGGGTATTTCGTTACCCAGAAAGAAACTTTCCATCAGCATTTACTCCATCCCCTCTCCCCAGCCCCTGACAACCATAATCCATCTCTGGATTTGCCTATTCTGGACATTCTTTTAAGTAGAATCCTGTGATGTGTGGCCTTTTGTGTCTCGCTTTTACACGGCATATTTTCAGGGTTCATCCATGTTAGGCATGTGTCAGAATTTCATTCATTTTTTATGGCTGAATACTATTCTGTTGTGTGGACAGACCAGTTTTATTTATCCGTTTATCAGTCCATGGACAGTTGGGTTGCTTCTGCTTTGGGGCTATTATGGAAATGCTGCTGTGAACACACGTACAGTTTTTGTGTGGACACACGTTTCCATTCTGAGTATTCCCAGGGGTAGAAACTCCAGGCAGTGTGTTCGGCTCTTTGAGGAGCTGCCAAACTGCTTCCTGCAGCGGCCGCACCGTTTTGTGTATTCACCAAGAAGCAGTTTTTAGTTTATGCTTTCATTTGGCCATCTCCTCCTGTATCTTGCACGTTATCTAGAATTTTAATTTTATCATATTTTTCAGCACACTAATTTTTAAAAACCCCAGTGACTGAAGCATTCTGTGTATCTGTCTGCTCATGGTTGTTCTGTGTCCTGTCCCCTTTGGTTTCCATGACTTGAGAAAGAACATCACTTAACACTCCTGAGCAGTCTGGGGTGCTGACCTTGCAGGCTCTGTGTCTGCACACGGCTTTGTCTTTGATGTTGATTATCTGGGTTAGAATTCTGGATGGATAGTCCTTTTTTCTCCGTGACTCCACTGTCACTTGGATATATTGCCAGTGTAATGTCTGCTGCTCATTCATTATTCTTTTTTTTTTGAGACAGAGTCTCACTCTGTCACTCAAGCGGGAATACAGTAACATCATCACAACTCACTGCAGCCTCCAACTCCTGGACTCAAGCAATCCTCCCTCCTCAGCCTCCCAAAGTGCTAGGATTACAAGCGTGAGTCACTGTTCCCGGCTTCTTTTTTATAGGTAAAATGCATTTTCTCCTTGATAACTTTTAAATTTTTTTGCATTGTAAAATTGAGTTTTTCTTTTGGTATGCAGTTCTGTGACTTTCCTAACCTGTGCAGGTTTATGTAAGTCCAGCCACAGTCAGGATACAGGAGAGCTCCGTCACCTGGGAGACGTCTGCACTCCCCGTGTGGTCCCCCTCCCTCACCCGTACCTCCAGGCAGCCACTTCTCTGTCACCGTTGTTTTGTCACATAGATGGAGTCATGCAATATGTTACTTCCTGAGACTGGCCTTCACTCAGCAGAATGCCTTTGAGATTCATCCAGATATGTGTCAAAATTTGTTTCTAGGCCGGGCGCGGTGGCTCACGCCTGTAATCCTAGCTCTCTGGGAGGCCGAGGCGGGCGGATTGCTCAGAGTCAGGAGTAAACCCAGCCTGGAGAAGAGCGAGACCCGTCTCTACGTATAAATAGAAAGAAATTAATTGGCCAACTGATATGTATATAAAAAAAAAAAAATTAGCCGGGCATGGTGGCGCATGCCTGTAAGTCCAGCTCACCTTGGGAGGCTGAGACAGAAGCGATCACTCCGAGCCCAGAGTGTTGACGGTTGCTGTGAGCTAGGCTGACGCACGCACTCACTCTAGCCTGGGCAACAAAGCGAGACTCTGTCTCAAAAAAAAAAAAAAAAAAAAAATTTGTTTCTTTTTTTTTCTTGCTGAGTACTATCCCATTATGAATGGATCACAGTCCGTTCACCTGTTGAAGGGGTATTGAGTTTGTTTCCAGGGTTTTGCAATATGAACAGAGCTGCTATGAACATTTGTGTCCAGGTGGGTTAAATGGGCTTTCATTTCACTAGAGTAGTTAGGAGTGGGTTGCTGGGTCGCACAGTGGTGTATTTTGAATTCATGAGAAGGTGCCAGCCGCTTCCTGGAACGCCCGTGCCTCTTTGTGGAGCGCCAGCGCGGATCTCAGTTCCTGTTGCTCACTTCCTCTAAGCACTGGTACTGTCCGTGTTTTTACCCTAACTGTGTGTAATAGGTGTGTAGTGGTATTTTGTCATGGTTGTAATTTGCATTTCTCTTATATCTGATGAATGATGTTCTTCTTTGGTGAAGTGTCTGTGTCTTACCCGTTTTTAAATTGGGTGTGATGTTTTCTTATTGAGTTTCAGGTTGTTTATATGATCTAGATACAAGTCTCTAGCCAGTATATTAATTTGCAAATATTTTCTCCCAGTCTGTAGCTTATCTGTTCAACATCTTCTTAACAGTGTCTTTTTCAGAACAAGTAAGTTTTAAATTTTGATGAATCCTGTTAACCAACTTTTTCTTCCATGATTGTGCCTTTGGTGTCATGTCTGATTCTTTGAGTAACACCAGACCATGATGGTTTTCTTCTATAATTTATTCTAGAGTTCTAATTGTTTTACATTTTACATTTAGATCTGTTTTCAGTTAATTTTTGCATAAAGCATGAGGTTTAGGTTGAGGTTCTTTTTTTTTTTTTTTTTTTTTTACATGTAGAGGCCAGCTGTTCCAGCATCATCTCTTCAGATGACTAACTCGTGGCTACACATAGAATTACAGCCTCTCCTTTCTCCATTAACTTGCTTTTTCACTTGAAGAAAGACTTTCCCCATTGAATTGGTTTTTTTTCCTTTTGTAAACGCAATTTGAAGGCTGGGTCGGGGCCTGTAATCCTAGCACCTGGAGGCCGAGGTGGGAGGGGGGGGATCACTGAGCTCAGGAGTTCAAGACCAGCCTGATATTGTGATGTGGATGTCCTAAAAAGAAAAAAAAAAAAAAAAAAAAAGACCAGCCTGAGCAAGAGCGAGACCCGGTCTCTACCAAAAATAGAAAAAATTAGCTGGGCATGGTGGCGCGTGCCTGTAGTCCCAGCTACTCGGGAGGCTGAGGCAGGAGGATCACTTGAGCCCAGGAGTTTGAGGTTGCTGTGAGCTAGACTGACGCCACGGCACTCTAGCCGGGGCAACA